GGTGACAGAGTGAGACTCCAACTCAAAAAAAAAAAAAAAAAAAAAATCGAATGAGGAGCCTGAAATTTAGCTTGGGTAACTTATCCAGAATCTCACAGCCAGGTCATGGCAAAATCAGGATTTGAACTTGGTTTGATTTTTAGAATCTGGGCTCTTAATCGTACATACTAACTGAAGGCAGCAGATATTGGGAATCAAGTCAGAAGGAGACTGGGATTCGGTGTCAGGACATCCATTCCCTGAAAATGCTGGGTAACAAGAGAATAGGGCAGGACATCCTGGAAGGAAAGCAAGGCCAGAATAGGAGTTGTATCTAAGAGTGTTTTCTACCTATGTGTGGGGCCAGGGTGAATTCTGTACTGCATATATAAGTAGAACTTCAGGAGCAGTAAGTTTGAAGGTTAGGAAGAGAAAAGGAAAGAGTATCTAAAATGCTGGGCCATGACAGGCCCTCTGAATATGTGAAGCAAATAGGTTAATTGGGGGCACCTTGTGGAGTAAATGAAGGTACTCTAAGTTGTTTTTTTATCCTAATTAACCTATTTGCCAGGTGGTCCTTTCTAAGAGAGGTTTACTAGCCACATCAGAGAGTCCTTGGCGCCCAATGACAGACACTCGGGCACTGTCCATGAAGGGTATGTAACTAAGGACGTGGAAGTTCACACAATAGAAACTTTATACAGATGTGGTCCAGCATTGCCAAGGACATCTCTCATAATGAAATGATGATGTAGTAATAAAGAATAAATAAGAAAGAATAAGCAAAGAAGAATAATCAAGAATAAACAAAGACTAAGTTATTTAGAGTGGACAAGGACCTAGTTGAGGGGAGGAAGTAAGTGGAACAGAGAGAGATTTGGGGGAAGGCCAATGCCTTTTCTAGCTTCTCTGGTTCAGTAGGTTCAAGAGGAAAGTATTCTTGGTCCCACAGGATGAGGGGGGTGATTTAGACAATTCTAACATCTAGATGGAGGGCTACAGGTTTGCATATTTTTCTCACCTCATTGCGATATTCCCAGCATAATCAGCAACCATGAAATACAACAAACTGGTAAGAGAAAAACTTTAGACAAATTAAATTTAACAGGCTTTAATTGAGCAAAGAATGATTCTCAAATTGTGCAACTCCCCACCACCACTCTAAGCAGAATAGGTTCAGAAAGAATCTGGTACTGCCATATGGTTGCAGAAGGTTTATGATCAGAAAAAGAAAACGACCTACAGAAGACAGAAGTGAGGTACAGGAGCAGCCTGATTGGTTACAGTTAGGTGTTTGCCTTATTTGAAAAAAGCTTGAACAATTGGTTGCCTGTGAGTGGTTGAAGTATGGCTTCTGTGATTGGCTGAGACTTGGCTACTTAGAGGAAGTAGGTTACAGTCCATTTACACATTCAATTAGGGTACAGTTCACTATGTACAAAGGAACCTTTAGGCCAAGCTTAAAATATGTAAGGAGGCAGCTCTAGGTTAAACTTAATTTAACAAAACTGAGTTTTAGTTTTTCAAGTTTGCCTTTCGATTTGCAACTCTACCATGTTTGGGTCTCAGACTATATATCTTAACTTTTAATCCTAAGATCCTAAGGACAGGAGGAAGTGTGAGGACAACTGAAATCCAGCCAGTGGAACAGGAGGAGATTTGGGGGGAGGCCAACACCCTTTTCCAGCTCCTCTGGCTCAATGGGAGCAGGACATGGGCATATTTTCCCTTTAAACAGCATGAGTCTTAACTGTTTCTCTTTATTTTCCATTTTTTGGATTCAGTTCAATTCAAAAACATTTTCTGAGCACCTGCTATGAATCAGGCACTATGCTAGGTACTGAGGATGAAAAGAAGTCAAGACAGAGTTTCAGCCAGCTCTCTCTAAGCCTGCTGACACCACAGCAATGAAAGTGTAGAGAGACCGAGGACTTCCGGAAGGCTGTGCTATACACTCTCCACCAATGAAATCTCAAAAAGTAAAGTTTGTGCTGATACACAGGGGAAAGCAAACAAACAAACAAAAAAACAAGAGGATAACCTTTTTTGAAATAGTGGTAGATCTGAGTTTAGAACATAAAGTTACTAACTGTGAATTCAGTGCCTCTTTCACAATAACAAGATTACCTCTTTTAGGACTTTGTAGGAACTCACATCTGGTAACAACTTTGTACCTGAAGAGTATTTGGAGTGAGTATGGAAATAACTTGCTTCTCCTGAACATATTCTTCAAAAGCAGCATTTTATATTTATTTTTGAGAGAAGGTCTCACTCTGTTGCCTAGCCTGGAGTGCAGTGGCATGATCATCTCTCAACGCAGCCTTGACCTCCTGGGTTCCTGTGATTCGTCAGCTTTAACTTCCCGAGTAGCTGGAACTATACATATAAGACACCACACCAGGCTTATTTTTTGATTTTTTGTAGAGATGAGGTCTCACTATGTTGCCCAGGCTGGTCTTGAACTCCTGGGCTCAAGAAATTCTCCCATCTTGGCCTCCCAAAGTGCTGGGATTACAGACGTGAGCCACCTGGCCTAAAAGTAGCATCTGTTTATGATTTTTAAAATATACTAACATGATAGTTGCCAAGATTATGGATAAAAAGACCAAAGGGACAGCAGTGTGAAACACAACACCAGCTAACATTATTGGTTATAAGTCAAACAGAAACATATTCTGGCCAATTGAGGCTGAAATGGAATTTGCTGGAAGCGTTTTGGGTATCTGACAGAATTATAGGGAAGGCTGGAGAAATGAGTGCCAAGGACAAGAGAAGAAGCAAGGAGGCTGGAACTGTGCCACTGCCATTACTTCTGGAATGACTGCTATGCTGCTAATACTAGGTTCAGGATGTCACTGCCACTAGTGGGATGAATTCTATTGTTATTATTTTGAGTCGAACTCTCACTCTGTTGCCCAGGCTGGGGTGCAGTGACACACTCACGGCCAACCGCAGCCTTGACCTGCTGGGCTCAGGCGATCCTTCTGCCTCAGCCTTCCAAGTAGCTGGAACTACAGGTGTGTGCCACCATACCCAGCTAATTGTTTGATTTATTGTAGAGATGAGATCTTGTCAAGTTACCCAGGCTGGTCTTGAACCCGTGGGCTCAGGCAGTCCTCTTGCTTCAGCCTCCCAAAGTGCTGGGATTACAGGTGTGAGCTACCAAGCCTGCCTCAAGCAGGATGAATCCTAAACAGGCCCTGTTTCTTTATACATTTACTTCCAATTCTCAGTCCCAGACAGGAGTATCTGATGGTTGAAGCTGAGTTGATGTACCTACACCACAGAGTGGGAAGAAGGGATATCTGGCATTTCGAGCTTCCGCTCAGACTCACCCAGTGATGGATTTTCTCTCAAAAAAGGAAGGAGGTTCACTTGTTGGACAAACAAAAATAAACTGTTAACCATAATTTAGAATAAAACTACAGAGAAAGTGGTCATGAATATTCATGATATGTGCTCTACCTCAATATTTCTCTGTTAGTGATAGAATCTATTTCTCTGCCTTTGCCTCCTAGAATAGCAGTCGTATTAAATAAGATATGTTTGGAAAACCCTTCAAGTATCGTTTCTTATGAAATCATTTCCATACTTGGCCAGAAGGGGGCAACCTAAAAAGGAAACCAATGTTTTCCTTTTGTCCTACTCCCCAGGTGGAATAGGACAGTTAACAACTCATTATCAGGAACTTAATTGTAGTAATTTAAGCAAAGGAACCTAGGGAAGATAAAGTTACACAATATATATATATATATTTATGAAATCACACATATAATGAAAAAAAAACAGTTAACCATGAAGTTCAGCCATCAGGATAATTATTTTTCCTCCTAATAGGTTGTTGCTTCAAATGTAACAATTACATCTCAGAATGTGATATTGAAATAATTAGTCAGTAAAATGTACAGCGTTCCTACATTTGACTCTATCAAAGGTGCAACTCAAACACAAGGGATTTATAAAGTTTGAGATGATTCCTGATTTTAGGGTGTGGGGACTATTACAATGTTAACTCTGAAGAAACTGCTTGCCTATCTAGACAAATGAGTGCGTTTTTAAACATTTTGGAGACAGGTATGGAGAAAAAATGGGAAGTTACACTTCATTAGAGAAGAGCTATTTTCCTTTACTACTAATAAAATTTCTATTTATATGTATACAGATTTCTAGGCTATTTCATATCAACACTACTTTTTCATAAGAGTCACAAGAATGGAACTCTGTAATTAATAACTTCTTTATTCCTAACTTTCTACTATAAACCATTTCAGAATTTTGGGTCACTGAGTTAGGTAATCCATTCTAGGGCAACAAAGGACAAACCCTCCTTTGGCTCCTAATGATTTTGTTCAGAAGCAAGGGGTATGACTTTCCTGTCCAAACCAAGTGCACAATGACAATCCATTAAAACGTCCCTTTCACTTCATCAGTGACACTGTATGAAGACATTGATAAGAACAATATTTTTGGTGTAATTACATTTTACAAGTTAAAATATATAATGTTGCCCAAGTGACAATTTAATATTAAGAAGTTTGGCCAAGTGTCCTTGTATTTTAATGTATTGTATCTCATTCTGATAATCAGGTCTCTCTGACTTCCTGAGTTGCTTGTACCTTGCATCCCGTTTTGCTGTATACATCTGGAGTCCTGCAACAGAAGCATTAAAGTCTATTGACTATATGCATTTCAGAAGGAACAAAAAATACATAGGAAGGTCTGGAAGGCCCCACTTACTTGTAAGAAACATTGGCCTAGCATGGCAATGAACGATGTCTTGATCTGCTTGTGGCCCCAACCTCAGTACTTAGGACGATGACTAGCACATAGGTGCTCAATAAATATTTACGGAACGAATCAATGAATGGAGAAAGTGAAACGGTTCTTTGCAGGCACGGTTTACAAGCATCTGGGGTCCAGAAACTAAGTTTACAAGCAGGTTCCATCCTCAGTCCATTTCTCCAGGGAAACCCCTACTTCTGGTGGTGACGTTCAAGTAAGTGCCTGTCAATCATCGTGAGAGGCGGAGCAGGGGCGGGCCTGGCTCCACGCCTCTTCGGCCAGTCGCCGATCGCCTTTAGGACCCGGCGCAGCGCGGAATGAGGCTCGGAGGCGGGCTAGGGGAAGCCGTCGCGCACGCCTGACGTAACCAACCCGCGCCGGCGGAGAGAGGACGCCGAGAACCGCGCGCAGCCACGTTACTGGTTCGTCTCAGCTCGAACGCACCATGGCGGCGCCGGTCCAGCAGCCTACTCAGCCTGGCGGCGGGAAGCGCAAAGGCAAGGCTCAGTACGTGCTGGCCAAGCGGGCTCGGCGCTGCGACGCCGGCGGGCCCCGGCAGCTGGAGCCCGGGCTCCAGGGCATCCTCATCACCTGCAACATGAACGAACGCAAGTGCGTGGAGGAGGCCTACAGCCTGCTCAACGAGTACGGCGACGACATGTACGGGCCTGAAAAGGTACCCCTCCCGGGGTGGGCGGGTCGACTGGCAGGCCTTTGAGGGCAGAGGGAAGCCTGCAAGGCTGGCTGTCTTGACACGCATGCGCGCGTTCCGTCGCTTCGGTGGCGACGGGGGCGTGGTCTCGCCTGTGTTTCCGCCAGGTCTTTCGGTCTCCCTTGACTCTGTCTGCGGAGTGGGTCTTGAGCTGAAAGTGCTTGCCTGCTTTCTTTCCGTGATTAATCCCGGTAGCTCCTACTTCCTGGTTGCTTCCTGCGGGCCTGGTGGTGTGTCGCAACTTTTCAGAAACGTGTCCTTCTCACGACAGCTTTGTGAAGCTGGCTGTAGTAACGTGTTTGTCTGAAGCAGTATCTTTGGAATAGTGGATTTAGCCGGGCGCGGTGGCTCACGCCTGTAATCCCAGGTCTTTGGGAGGCTGAGGCGAGAGGATTGCCTGAGCTCACGGGTTCGAGACCAGCCTAAGCAACATGGCAAGACCTCGTCTCTACAAAAAAACAAAAACAAAACAGCTTGGCGTGGTGGCGCACGCCTGTAGTTCCAGCTACTTGGAAGGCTGAGGCGGAAGGTTCACCTGAGCCCAGCAGGTCGAGGCTGCGGTGGTCATGAGCGTGCCACTGCACTCCAGCCGAGGCGACAGAGTGAGACTCTGATTCAAAAAAAAGAAAAAGTGGATTTAGTACTACTGCTAGTTACTTTTCAAATGCATGTAAAAATATATTTTAAGTAAACACTTTTGTACCAGTAACTCTTAAAATCTCATTGTATCATCACAGTTGGAAATCATTATATTAGTTCCTTAGAATCTGAACCAATACACACATGCACAGCCCTAGAATTAAAGAAGGATAGTACAGATGGGATTTGGCTAAAGAGTTGCTTGTGTGCATGAAGTTCGTCCTGGTGGTATATAATAAAGACTCCATAAATGTATACAAGTACTATTAGTGGCTTACTGGCAACCCCATTGGTGGGGCAAGAGAACAGGGCAACAGGTGTATGTCCTGTCTACACTTATTCCTTGAGCAAATTCTTACACTATTTCTGTTCCCTGTTTCTCAGTAGACCAGGAATAAGGGTTTTAAATTTTGTAAGTATTTAGTCTAATCTCACCAAAAGGAGAGTGTCATGTGAGGCACAGATATTTAGTGAAGGTTTTAAGGTCCACCCTGAAATGAGCACATAATCTGGTGAGCATATTTCTCTGTTTTTGAAAACATTTTCAAATTATGTGTATCATAGACTGAAGGAAATCCCTTCTTTCTCCACATTCTGGAGGAACAGTGTTTCAGTCTTTTTTTTTTTTTGAGTTGGAGTCTCACTCTGCTGCCCAGGTTGGAGTGCAGTGGCATGCTCACTGCCACCGCAGCCTCGACCTGCTGGGCTCAGGTGATCCTTCTGCCTCAACCTTCCAAGTAGCTGAAACTGCAGGCAGGGTCCATTACGCCTGGCTTATTTTTTGATTTATTGTAGAGATGAGGTCTCTCTGGGTTGCCCAGGCTGTTCTTGAACCTGTGAGCTCAGACAATCCTCTCACCTCTGCCTCTCAAAGTGCTGGGATTATAGGCATGAGCCACCGCGCCCGGCCCTACGTCTCAGTCTTTTAATAAAAAGCTTGTCAATATCGAGCTATCTGCCACTGGAGATTTTACATAAGTAGTTAATTATAGTGTTTAAACCTGAGCTGTTGTGTCATTTCTGATCATTAGTTCTATGCACACAGTTTACAGACAAGGATCAACAGCTCTCTGGAAGTGAGGGAGAAGATGATGATGCGGAGGCTGCCTTGAAGAGAGAAGTTGGTGAAATTAAGGCATCTACAGAGATGAAGTTAAGAAGATTCCAGTCAGTGGAGAGTGGAGCAAATAACGTCGTCTTCATCAGAACACTTGGGATAGGTGTGGCGACATATCCCTTAAGAGTATTTATCCCATAATATTGAGACATCTTCCTGTCTCAGAGAACACTGCCTACAAAATGGCTTCATGGACATGGCTCAATCATTTGCACCTTTTCTACATTGTATTCACAGTAGCCATATGGAGAGGTAGAATGGGATGGTGGACATAGCATTGGCTTAAGAGTAGAAACCTAGCTTTGCCACTTCCTTTGTATACAGCTTCAGGCAGAATAAGAGGGCTTATTCTGTCTAAAAGGGGCACCTGCTACTCAGCTTCAGCCAGGTGTCGCCATTTGGGAATGTAGGGCCAGATTTTCCAATTTTTCAGAAGATGTTGGCAATCTGGAGAAGTTTGCTTTTTAAATGTGGTCAACTAATTTAAAAATATTTAAAATACTGAGCAGCCCCAAATAGACTTGTACGTTGGTAGGATGCTGCATGAGGACCACCACTTCATGAACTTGTGTACTGCATGGTTCTGAGATTTCTTCCAGGTCTGAGATCTAGACTTCTGGACTAACTTAGCTAATGGATTGATTTCATCTTTTTAAGTGACTTTCAGATTTTTGTTTTGTTTTTGTAAAACGGCATGTGCTGCTTAATGCTTATTACTATGATAGTTGCTATTATAGGAAAACAATAGAATGGTGTTACAGTTGGATAAATCAGAACATCACAATTTTTTTTTTTACAAAAATGTTAACTGCAGTGTCTACATGAACAAATTGTTTTTAGAGAAAGCAATGATAATGATGGCAGTTTAAAATATTAAATACAGTATTAGTATATAGTAGAGAAGAAATAGAAAAAAATGACTAGGTAGATTCATTTAAAATTCATGAGAATTTCTTCTACAATCAACTTATGTCACTGCCAATGAAAATTCATATTAGAGTTTGAAGAATCTTTGAAATGCCTGAGAATGTATCTTCTTAACTTGTTTGTGTTGATTTTCTTTTTTTCTTTTAGAACCTGAGAAATTGGTGCATCATATTCTCCAGGATATGTACAAAACCAAGAAGAAGAAGACTCGGGTTATTCTACGAATGTTACCCATCTCAGGCACCTGCAAGGCTTTCTTAGAAGATATGAAAAAATATGCAGAAACATTTTTGGAACCCTGGTTTAAAGCTCCAAACAAAGGGACATTTCAGATTGTATACAAATCTCGAAATAACAGTCACATGAATAGAGAAGAAGTTATCAAAGAATTGGCAGGTATGTTTCTCTTTGTGATTTTAGGTGTTCAGTGGTAAACACTTGTTTTTGTTTTTAATTTTTTTTTAAAGATTTAAGGCTTACATTTTTGAATGTAGAACAAGTATATTAAAATATCTTTAAAATAATGTCAAACCTAGCTAATTTCATTATTTTGGGTATGAGATTTTTCTAATAGGTAAAGTCTTTGACAGATTGAAATAGAATTTTCTTTGGGAAAAAAGTATTCTTACTAAATGTCTCAGGGTTTCATTTGTATTTATTTATTGAAAGGGTTCGGGGAATTTGATTTTGAAGTCCACATAGAAGAGTGGATTAGGCCCCGCATGGTGACTCAAGCCTTTAATCCCAGCACTTTGGGAAGCTGAGGCGAGAGGATTGCCTGAGCCCAGGGGTTCGAGACCAGCCTGAGCAACTTGGCGAGACCTCGTCTCTACAATAAATAAACTAGCCAGCCATGATAATGCGTGCTTATAGTTCCAGCTACTTGGAAGGCGGAGGTGGAAGGGCTGCCTGAGGCCAGCAGGTCGAGGCTGTGGTGGCTGTGAGCATGCCATTACCCTCCTGCCTAGGCGACACAGTGAGGCTCCAACTCCAAAAAAAAAAAAAAGTGAATTAGTATATATTTTGTTTTAGTTAATTCCAAACAGAAAGGGATGAAATATTTCTTGTAGTCCTTGAACTTAATGGTTTATTCTCAGCTTGATTATTTTTGTTACAGGAATAGTGGGCAGCCTCAATTCAGAAAATAAAGTGGATCTCACCAATCCACAGTACACGGTGGTAGTAGAAATCATCAAAGCTGTCTGTTGCCTGAGTGTTGTGAAAGATTACATGTTGTTCAGAAAATACAATCTCCAGGAGGTGGTGAAGAGTGCTAAGGATCCATCACAGCCTAACAACGTAAAGCAGGGAATTGGGAATGAAGCTAAATTGGAATCTGGTGGCAAATCAAATAAAAACGACTCAGCAGACGGAAAAAACCAGCAGGTGGTACCGGAGCATAGTGAGGAGCCAGGGCAGACCAGACCAACATCTGAGATGCAGGTGGTGAATGAGGGTGTAGCCAAACCTGAGCTTGTAAGTCAAGTCACAGAAGGATCCAAGTCAAATGAAAATGACCACTCATAGGAGGTCGTTTGGTGTTGGAGGTGGGTTTATCAGCTGGGGTTCTATGAGTTGTTGCTGAAGTCCCACCTAAGATTGTGGCTGAAAATACTGTCTTGACCTTTGTGTGCTGCATAATACCATTCTATATTAGTGAACAATGATCACACAGCCCCGCTAACAGTTTTGTTAAAGATCTTTCAGTCCTGTATGGCACTTTGAGTAGGCCCACTTAGCTGCTGCACGGGGTGAGGTGGGGAGGGGCACTGCGGAGGAGGAGGACGTTGGCCTTTCCTGGCTTCCCCTTATGCACTGCTGACTGACTTATGGGACTGGACAGACTCTGAAGTAGAAGATCAGAGGGAAGTTTTCATTCTAAGGAAGGATTTTTTTACATGCCACAATTAAGCTGTCCCCTGCCACTTCGTTGTAAACATTGCAAAAAATGTGGATTGTGTAGGTTAGAAATGAATTGTTTTGTGGTGTTTTAGTATTTTCTGTGATTTTCTTGTTTGGTTGTATTTGTTTTTATATTTTATTAACATTTGTGTGTAACAAATCTGACAGTCCAGTACTGCAATTTGGGGTTTTTTTTGAGTTAGAGTCTCACTCTGTTGCCCAGGCTGGAGTGCAGTGGCAGTTAATAGCTTCCGCAGTCTTGACCTGATGAGCTCAGGTGATCCTTCTACCTTAGCCTTCCAAGTAGCTGGAACTACAGCCATGTGCCACCACGCCCAGCTAATTTTCTGATTTATTGTAGAGGTGAGGTCTCGTCAAGTTGCCCAGGCTGGTCTCAAACCCCTGGGCTCAGGCAGTCTTCTCACCTTGGCCTCCCAAAGTGCTGGGATTATAGGTGTGAGCTACCATGCCCAGCCAGGTACCGCAATTTTTGAAGGCAAACTGAGAAGAGGACCATTCTAGACGTAGAGCTGCAGACATTTCTGATAAAGTTGGTGATGAGTTTTATTCTTCTGAGATACTTCTGTATACTAATGCAACAAGGGACACAAATTCTGTCTTTATAATGAAAACTGCTTCTCAAGGGTTTTATATGGACTCATAATCCAAGCTATTCTATTCCAGTGTGCGTTGTCTGTGGCATGTAATTTACAAATCTAGCACTAGTAACTATAAATCACAGCCACTCTGCTTTTCCCAGCACTACTGTAACAATAAATGAGGAATGCTTTCTTTAAATCTGCTCAGCCTGAGATTTTGTCTCTTAAGGAAGAGAAAGAACTCAGCCCTGGTCTCAACAGTTGTGGTGGATTTCTGTGAAATAAGAGTATCTTTCAACTTAGTGCTCACACTCACATACCATGAGAGTTCCCTACAGGAGTTTCTTGAATTTGGAAGTTTTTCAAAGGCTCCTCCTGTTTGAAACAATTGAAAAAGACTGGAAGAGACACACCAACAAAGTCTGTGAAACTGTCCAAATTGAGAATATTAAGGGGCTATAAAATTAGCTTTTGGGGATGGGTTTATTCTTTTAAAAAGCTAGGAAGTAGTGTAAATGTTGTCTTCCCACAGAAGTGGCTTTGTTATTTTAATGGCTAGTGAACATGGGAGTATATTTTTATCCTTCTAGCTAGTGGTTCTGCTTGCTAAACCAGACTAGAAGGGTTTGAGGGGGGCAAAGAGAAAATAGGTAGGACCTTCCTTGTGTATCTTCAGATGTTCAGAATGTTAATTCTTTATGAAGTGGAAGTCATCTTGAAAGGATTGATAAGAGTATTAGTGTATTATTTGGGGAAACAGGGAGTATAGGATTTTGGTGCCTTCAGTGGTCTTGCTCCAAGACAAAGATGCTTTTATTTTGGTAGTGCAAGACAAAAGGACTCTGGGAATAAACTTGGCCATGTACCTATAGAACATACAACTCTATGGAACTGGGTCCCTTTTATTTTGTGAAAGCTGCTACTTATAGAAAGATTTTGATTTTATAGTTTGTCTTTAATTGCCTTTTATATTTATTTGTATTTGGTAAGGTCTGAGTGTGATACAAGCTGTTCTTTCCCAGCTATAAAATACTGTTATGTTGGAATCTGAATTCATTCAATAAAAGATCTGTTTTCAGATTTATCAACTTTATTTTCACTGACATTTGAGCATGTTATTTTATAAATGACGAGATTTCAGGATGGAAATTGAGTGCTTTTTTTTAGTTTTTTATTGTGAAAAATGATGTCAGTTAAAAAACAAAACTCGAGTGTTGTGATGTAAATTTTGCTTTATGGAGGAGAGTGTTAAACTTTGTATTTTAAAACATGTTTCTCTAAGGTTAAACATGGTTTTCAAATGTTATTTTTACTTGTATTTTGCTTTTGGTACAGCCAGATATTCAGCTTGTTTTTCATAGTTCCTGATATTTTCAGAAAAATCAAAATAAATGTGCTCCCTAAAGATTGGTCTGTACTTTTTCTTTCTTTCTGCCTTTTTATACGTCTCTTGGTATTTTTATGTGGGGTGGGTGTGTGTCAGTGTCATAAAAGATGCCTGTATATCAACTTATGTATCAAAAGTCATAGTCCTAAAAAGTAAAGATATTAACTTAATGTATTAATTGTCCCTGAATAATTAATACCAAATAATCCAAGTTCAGATATTTTACAATGAATTTGCTTTAAAATGAGGCACAGTAATACAGTACTAAATTTTATTAAATTCACTTGTTGATTTTTGAATTGTTTTATACTCATTTTAACATTAGTATTTTAATCAAAAATAATTGGTCTCATAAAGATGTTAAGCATAAATTCTGTCTTGAACATTTCTCTTGGATCTTTATTTTCAGTTAATCAGGCACAAGATAGATGAAATACAGATTCATTGTGTGCTTTCCTTTTATCAGTAATCATTTGATCCCCACTATGTTAAACATTGCAAATCATTATGATTATTATCTTTGTCAGATTGGTCATTATAGCAATTTTCATCCCTATATTTTAAAATTTTTATTTAATTTTCTGGCTAAGTACAAAACAAAACTCAGTTGCATTTTCAACGAGAGTATTCACTGAATTATCAGGAAGCAAATACTAAAAAAAACAACCATGCTACTACTTCATCCCTTATTTTTCTTCTCAAGCTATTTTCGTCCCCATTCTTGATCTCTTAAAGTGTTGCGTTTGATTTTTCCAGTAATTGTCTTTGGGAGTTCTTGAACAAATTCCACCTAATTGACAGGGAAAAAAAAGACACTTGATTCCATTCTGACTTCAATTGTCAGGACAATAGGAGAGTGCGGTCATGAAACTCTGAGGCTGAATTTAAAGCCTGGAGGTTATTTTAGCCTAAGCTGATTGAATTTCCTGGACATTAGAAGATGGTCTGAAAATGTATCCTCACTTTATGGTTTTTAGTGCAAATTCACTTATATGCTTTGACAGAGGAAAAGAATCCCTTTATTCCATTGCTTTCCACTAGTTCAAACCAGACCTAGGCTTCTACTGCCCTCGGGGAAATGGAGACTACATGTAAATGCAAAAAGAATAGAAGTTAGTTCTTGGCTTTTAAGCTTGAGAGCTGAGTCTTGAAGGTTTTTGTGGGAGACTTTTTAGGGATAATTTGGATTGTATACAATTTTTCCTTTATTGTCTGGCTTGACCATAACATCCTCTTGTTCCTTTCTCGCCTTTAAAATGCCCACAAACAACATTTCTGAAAGTCAAAGGGTCACTAACTTGGTGAATTTAATGGAGAAAATGGGAATAGTCCTTAGGTTGAAATTAACTACCTTTGACTGAAATGGTAACAACTGAAATGAATTCTCATGCAGAGGATCAGTCAGTATTAACTAAAAGGAGTCCAGGGCTAGAAAGAAACTGCAGTGCCATCTCCTGTGTCTTTATAATAGAATTGTTCTTAAATCTTTCTTTGAAGAAAGTTTCAGGAAATATTCCATGGAGTATGTGAAGACTACCTTCTGAGCCTTAAATGAAGTAACTTGATACATAAAGCCATGTACTTTGAATTTGTAGAGGTATTAGGGCCAAGAGTACTAAAGCAGATGAAGCAGTTGCTGTTCTGATATACTGGCACTTAGCAATGCTTTTTTTTTTTTGAGTTGGAGTCTCACTCTGTCGCCCAGACTGGAGCGCAGTGGCATCCTCCCGGCCACGGCAGCCTCAACCTGCTGGACTCCGGCGATCCTTCCGCCTCAGCCTTCCAAGTAGCTAGAACTACAGGTGTGCGCTACCATGCCCGGCTAATTTTTTGGATTTATTATAGAGATGAGGTCTCGCCAGGTTGCCCAGGTGGGTCTCGAACCCGTGGGCTCCCAAAGCGTAGGATTACAGACTGAGCCACCGAGCCCGGCCACTTAGCAATTCTTTACTACCATTTTTTTCTCTGCCACAGAATGGGACTAATTAGTGCTAGGTAAAGTCTTAGTAGTTACTCAATATTGCAGCATTGATAAAAACATCTAGTTTATCATGCATTCAGAGTGTCCTAAAACAAGATATTTTAAAGCAAAATTTTCTTAGGGCTAAACAAATTGATAAGGTATCTTCCTCCTATATAATGATGACTATAAAGTCAAAATCCAATAAAATCTGTATACTATTTTAGACTCTAGTTGTATAACGCAGACTTAACTTTGGGCAAAATACTTGCCTTTCTTGGATATTTGTAAGGTGCAGTTAAGTTTTTTACATGAGTCTGAAGCTCAAGAGTTAATTTCTCTGGGTTGGAGGACTTGAAAGGTGCAGATAAGACAACAAAAGCTTTCACCACCTGCAACAGAAACGTCAATTTATCTTGCTCTGTTTGTTTTTCAGGCACATCAAGAATTTGGAATGAATATTGAACACAGGTATTTACTGTTTGTTAAACAGTTTGAATAATGACTGCAAATGTCAGAGATCACCTCTGACCAAAGCTTGGACACAGTGATAATGTTATGCAATGATAGAATGAAGTTTTAAGATCTAGTTCCAGATAAATGACTTATGAGTATGAGGAGTGCAGTGGTTCAATGAAGCTGAATCTTATTTACATTTCACACATGTAAATATCAGACTGATCCTATTTATTATACAGGCAATCCTTGGTTTACAGATGACCACTTACTCCATCAGACTGCTATAGAAGCATACAGTAGGGGGACAAACAGGTTCTAGAGAATATGTGGTTTAAAGGGAGTTTGGGGAATCCTAATGGAGGAAAGTTTGTGTATCCTGAGAGATTAGTTCTCAGGAAGGATTGATCTATCACTGAGGTTGGTTTTTCTTTGTATTGTTTGCTTCTCTCTGTAATACTGTTTAAAACCCACCAATTAAATAATTACTAAGGTTAGTAAGCATAGTTTAAATTATTAATTGTTCATGCATTGTTGTTTTTTTTTTAAAGTTGGAGTCTTACTCTGTCACCCAGGCTGGAGTGCAATGGCATGTTCATGGCCACTGCAGCCTTGACCTGCTGGGCTCAGGTAATCCTTCTGCCTCAACCTTCCAAGTTACTGGAACTACAGGCGTGCGGTACCATGCCTAGCTTATTTTTTTGATTTATTGTGGAGACAAGGGCTCACCAAGTTGGCAGGCTGGTCTCGAACTCCTGAGCTCAGACAATCCTTTCACCTTGGCCTCCCAAAGTGCGAGATTACAGGCTTGAGCCACTGCACCTGACCTTTGCATTGTTTCTAGTTAGTGTTTACTTCTGCTGTTCAGTTGAAATCAGTTATATTGAGAGAATGAGACTATGGTGACAAGGGAAAACTCTTTTTGAGAATGAAATAGATTGAGACTGGAGTGGATACAGGAGATGAGAGCATGGGATTTGTAGTGTCATTGCAGAGGGAGGCACAGAAAGATGTGGGAGACAAACTACTGAAATTTTGCCACTTGCTGAGTCTGTAGGAAACTTTCCCGAGGAAAAGAAATTTCTCCCTTCCATACCATAGGCCTTCCTTCCTATAACTAAGGCTTTTACAGTCATTGCCAAAGTTTGCTTTCGTTATCTCCTAAATAGACTCATGAGACTTGTTTGGGAACCTGGCCATGATCTTTTTATTACATTGTTTCTGTGAAAAAGTGTCTTATGAGTTCTGTGACAATTGTATACTCAGTGAAACCTGCTTTTGCTTATACAGTATCTGGTCCCCCTTTTTATTATCAGTACTCTGATTTTCCTATGAAGTATTATCCTGACTTCTCTCTGGGGGAGTTGACACCAACTCCCTACCTCCGATGTCAGACATATGTTTAAGTTCTGGCCAGTCAAGCCTACACCATTCCCTGGATCTAAGATAGTAAATGCAGTCTTGAGAGATACTTAAATGATTGAAAAGAGCCTGATCCTGCCCTAGAGGGGTAAGAGCATCACTAGCTGTGTAGATCTGGAGTTGGTTGAAGAACCTGCTCAAGAGGAGCCCACAAACATGGAGACTGTCTTGCTAATTTCACATTGATGCTTGGATGTAGCTGTACCTGTATACCTTTCATGTATATGAGCACCCTCCCCATATTTTTTTTTAACTGAAGGTTGTTTGAGTTGAATTTCTATTACTTGCCACCAAAAGAATCCTTATCCCCACACCCCACCATAAGGACACAAGTCGTTTGTAAAGTTGGTTGCCTAGTATACATTTTTACCACATATGTGCCTCATAGTGAGAAGTAAATGACCACTCTTGATTAACTCTTTATGGTGGTCAAATGGATGGAACTTGAAAATGTGAAGTTGCTACTTTAATTGGCAACATTCACCCTACCTCTCCTCGGACTGGGTCTGGACTACTGACAACAGCCGATTCGACAACTGCTGGATGCTCAATGAGCGCACTCTCCACCTCAAAGGGCCCAATACGGTACCTGAAAAGGGACAGAAGGCTTTGATCAGCACACCCTCCAAGGAGATATCCCTCCCTGACAAATCATTGCTGTTTAAGAGTGGCAAATGTACAAACCCAGAGGTTATAATGACATCATCAGCTCTGCCAACAAACCAGAAATACCCATCGCTGTCCATCACTCCTTTGTCTCCAGTGACATAAAAATCTCCTCTTAATGTGGCAGCAGTTTTCTCTGGATTGTCCTAGGATTAGTTTGGTCAGAATAGAGACAAGGGTATGGCACCCATTAAGTGACTAGTACATTACACATTCTTCTTCTAAAAGAAATTATTTTTTTTTAAAAAAATGGTAGTTCCTAGTATAAGATACAAGTGGGCTAAAAAAGTATAATAAAAAGTAAGCCCCTCTTCTACCACTAGTGCCCCCCTATCTCTAGCCTCTCCCCCTCCTGCCTGTCCAGTTTTCCCTTCTGAGGATGACCATTGCAACCAATTTCTTACATATACAGTTTCATCTTTACAGTATTCTTGGGACTTAGTGATATTCTCCCCATTTTACATCTGATGAAATAGACTTAGATTTTTGTCACTTGCCCAAGATTACATAGCAAGACATGGTAGATATGAAATTTGGACCCAGGTCTCTATTAAGGTAGGAATAGCATTTTCTATGTTCTCATACCACATATTCAGAGAAGAAACAGAAGGGCCATGTAGACTTTAGTCTGAGGGCAATGTCCCCTTCCTTGCCAGGTGGCAGAATGCTGCCATTTTCATCTATAATCTGGAGTGAAAGAAACAATTCATGTTCTTCAAGTTTTCACAAAATAAAATCAGGTTGTGAATAGTTATATAGTAAATAGAAGAAAACTGTAAAACAGTCTCACTTCTTTATTGAACTACTCAGATATTTTCTCAACCCACCTGAACATCATAGGGTAGTACTCTTTTTCCCATCGAGCCTGGTTTAATTTCTTGTCCTTTCTGATTGGCACAGATGATTCCCTGTTAAGCGAACATGTTTTATATATGTAAAAATTCTATTTCTGTACCTTTTTATATCATCACAATGAAACTTGAGGTTCAGCTTTGAGTGATTTTTCTAGTATGCAAGCTCATCTTCTGAAATACATTATTTTAGACCAATAGTTCTCAAACTTGACAGTGTTTCAGAATCAAGTTTGAGATTCTGTAGCACTGTTTAAACACAGACTTCTTGGCCTCATCTCAGAATTTCTGACGTAGTAAGTGTGTGGTGGGGTCTGCAAATTTGCATTTCTATCAGTTTTCCCAGATGATGATGCTGCTGCTAGTTTGAAGACCACATCCTGAGAAGCACTCTTTAAAAAATTTTTTTTAAATTTTAATTTTATATTTTAAAGATGTGGAGTACAATTCAGGGTTAGGTATACAAATGTTCATTATGCAGGTACGCTTGTTAATGAAGTGTGCCCCCCTTCCTCAGGCAGATTCCCACTACTGCCATCCCGCTTCCCCGCCCCCACTCCTGGCAGTTTCCCTGCTATTGCTAATCCTTTTCTTATAGTATTACGCCAATTGTTGAAGGTCCGCTTATGAGTGAGAACATGTGATACTCAGTTCTTTGTTTTTGTGAAAGATCCCTCAGTATTATAGACTCTAAGTCCATCCAGGTGAGAAGCACTCCTATAGATTACATTAGGTGAACCTTGGAATAAATTTCCCATGGAGGCTCAGAGCATCCTTCCCAGGACAATGGAAAGAGAACTGCTCAGTTCGGAACCTCACCCACCCCTAGCCCCCCTGAGATTTCTCCTGCCTAGGGTGGAAGCAGGAAGACTATGGAATAATTGTCATCCCCCTTCAGCCAAATCTAAATGAGTAATTCACAAGTTTTGGGAACTATTGGCAAGGCAAGGTGTTCTGGGAAACTCCATAAACATTTAGAGCAGGATGGGGGCACTTCAGAGGCTTGGATGGCAGTCCTAGGGCGAAAAGGCTCCCAAATGTACTAAACATAAACTTTTCCCTTTTAACGTACCACTTCTGTCTGTCCGTAGCCCTCATACAACTCCAGCCCAGTTTGCGCCCTCCACCGCTCCAGCACCTCTGGGTTGAGTGGCTCTCCTCCTGTTACGCAGTGCCGCAGCGTCTTGAATTTATATCTGGAAGCACAGAGATATCTGAGTGCTTTCATTGCAAGATAGCTAGGACAGTTGAGCAACAAGCAAAGGAGCTAGGAGACGCAAGTCTTAGGAAAATTTTTTCAACAAATATTTGGTGACACCTAGTATATTGCCAGGCATGCCGTGCACATTAGTTTTAAAAACAAAGATTTCTGTCAGAGCTTACATTTTAGCAAGTGGGGAAGAACATCGCTATTAAAGAAGGAAAAAGGTAGAAAATGCTAATAAATGGTATAACAGCTAATATTAATTAAGCAGTTGCTATGTTGTAAGGGCTTTAGAAGCACTCTTAGAATCCTCGCAGCCCCTATTTTGCAGATAAGGACATTGAGGCTCAGAGAGGCTAAAGAGCTTGCCCAAAACCTCTCACTAAAGGGCTGAGTTGACACTCTGTACCATATACTTCCCACTTGTCAGGCTGATCTCACCAAGCATGTTGCTTTCATTGAGTTCTCACTGCAATCCCATGAGGTGGCTTTCAGTTCTCTCTTATGAATGGAGTTTAGGGAGGCTTAGCAAGGTTATCTTGAGTGTCTGAGGTCATGCTATTAGTAAGTAGCAGACCCTTGCATGTTTGGCTTTGGAGCTTGAGCTTTTAACCACTGGCCTTACTGGACTCAGGTGAGAAAGCCTGGAACAGCCTGAGTCTCATACAGTGAGGTCCCAAATGGGTGGGAGGGTCTAGGTGGAACACAAATCATACACATTGAAAATAATCTTTGAATAGTTCTTGAATGACTCTTGAATTATGAGCAAGATACATCTTGAGGGCCAAAAGGAGACAACACTGACGGCAAAAAGAGAAAATTCCTATCTATTTTATTATCTGTCAGCACTTTTCCTCCAGGGCATCCACACCTTAGTGGCAACAGAGGATGGGCAAGCCTGCACTACTTAAATTGCTTCTCTCTTTCTCTCTCTATGTATTGAATTTGACTTAATTAAATAAATATGTGTTGCAACTCTACTGGAAGTTCAGGTGATTTGGCTAAATTGAATATAACCTTCAAGTGATAAACTTGATTAGCCTCTCATCAAAGTAATATCAATGTACTTGGTTTTATTTTTCTTTCCTTTTTTATAGGGCTGGTTCTAAACAACAGTGTTTCTAAAACTGGTACTAGAGGACACTTTTTTTTTTGAGTGGAAGTTCTGGGACTATAGGACTCTTGTTGTCCCTGGGAAAATGCCCAGTTATCCCTAAAAGCTATTCCACTGGTTCTTACAGACTTTAAATCCATCCAAGTTGCTGTGAAGTCCATAGTTTTGTATTACTTTATCCATCGTGTTATGTATCACATTTAAAAATAATCTAGTTCACTTTCAATCGGCAGCATGGTAGGTTCCATGTTTTCTTTTCTTTTCTTTTTTTTTTGAGTTGGAATCTCACTCTGTCTTTCAGACTGGAGTACAGTGGCACGCTCACTGCCACCACAGCCTCGACCTTCTGGGCTCAGGTGATCCTTCCACCTCAGCCTTCCAAGTAGCTGGAACTACAGGAATGTGCCAATTTTTGATATATTGTAGAGATGAGGTCTCACCAAGTTGCCCAGGCTGGTTTCAAACCCATGGGTTCAGGCAATCCTCTCACTTCGGCCTCCTAAAGTGCTGAGATTATAGGCTGAGCCACTGCACCCGGCCTTCCACTGGTTCTTAAATTCATGTACAGTTTTACTCCCAAGGAGACATTAGGCAATGTCTAAGGAGACATTTTTGATTGTCACAAATTGGGAGGGTGGGAGGTACTACTGGCATCTAGTAGGTAGAGGCCAAGAATGCTGCTCGGTTTCCTGTAATACACAGAACAAACCTGCAATGATACAGTTAGTCCAAAATGGCAGTAGTGGCAAGGCTGAGAAATCCTAGACTACCTTATGCTGAAAAGGGAAGATATGTGATGCTGGATGGTAGCTTTTATTTGTGATTCAAATGGAAGTTTCTGTCCACGTACCTTTTAAGGTCTTTTTGCACAAGCATCCGGTACACAGTGGGAGCACTGCACAGGGTCGTGATGGGATAAGTGGTAAGCGTCTGGATGATGGAGAAAGATATAGATGTCAAAAGTGGTAAATTGAAGGCTGTAATTAAAGCTGTTATCTGTAGCCTCTCTCTTTTTTTTTTGAGTTGGAGTCTCACTCGGTCGCCCAGACTGGAGTGCAGTGGCCGCTCCCGGCCACCGCAGCCTCTACCTGCTAGGTTCTGGTGATCCTTCCGCCTCAGCCTTCCGAGTAGCTGGAATTACAGGCGCGCGCTACCACGCCTGGCTGATTTTTTGATTTATTGTAGAGATGAGGTCTCGCTGCCCAGGCGGGTCTCGAACCTGCGAGCTCAGGCAATCCACTCACCTCAGCCTCCCAAAGGCGCGAGATTACAGGCTGAGCCACCGAACCCGGCGCCTTTCTCTTTCATTAACATGTGTCCATCTCATGGTCACGTCACTACTTGGAGTTAGAAGCCAAATATTTATCAGTTGTCACTAGTGACTGTGTGTCTATTGGAGATTTCTAATTACTGGAAAGAATATATTTTACGGAAATTGACATACACAATCAAATTAAGCAAATGAATTGTTGAATATGAGAACAATCCAAAGTATGCACTGGTTTATTGTACCTCCGGACTGCAACTTACTTTTGTTTTTTTGTTGTTGTTTTGTTTTTGAGTCGGAGTCTCACTCTGTCGCTCAGGCTGGAGTGCAGTGGCACGTTCACAGCCACTGCAGCCTCGACCTGCTGGGCTCAGGTGATCCTTCTGCCTCAGCCTTCCAAGTAGCTGGAACTACAGGCAGACGCCACCATGCCCAGCTAATTTTTTTTTCTGATTTATTGTTGAGATGAGGTCTTGCCAAGTTGCCCAGGCTGGTGCAACTTACTTTTAATGGTGGAATCTTATAACCTCCTGCCTACATATTCATGTATAGTACAGGCTCTGAATGTATAAGCTAACCTACTGAGACCTGTCCAGCACCATTCCTTTAGAAAACATCAGTCCTTTTGAGTGAATTGAATAAATACAGAAATCAGCATTTTTCAGGCCTTTTCTTAATTTTTAAAATTTTTTGACAGCTTGGGCAACATAGTGAGACCTTGTCTCTACAAAAATAAAAAAAATTAACCAGGTATGGTGGTGCATGCCTGTAGTTCCAGCTACTCAGGAGACTAAGGAGGGAGGATTACCTGAGCTCAGGTGTTCAAGGATGCTGTGAGCTGTGACTGCCACTGCACTCCATCCTGGGGACAGAGTGAGACCCCAACTAAAAAAAAAAAAATTCTGGGCTCATTATACTTCCAGTTCCCTACATCAAATAATGACCTAGGCATCTTAAATCTGGAGAAATATTAATGTTTTAGAGATCCTCTTTCTGAAGTAGCTCCACTATCTCGCTTAATTGTTGATAAATTGTATTAAATGTAAGCATTTGGGAAAAGGCTCTCAAAATGTGTGTCCGGGCAACCTGGATTTTCATAGATTAAGAATAACTTTTGGTATGTAAGTAAGCATTTCTAATGTGTGTACCTGCTCCCTACAATCTAGTTGTTTTTACAAAGTATAACACATATATCTAAGAATAGCATAAGTCTACAACGTTTTTTTGTTTGTTTGTTTGTTTTCTTTGCGTTGGAGTCTCACTCTTGTTGCCCAGGCTGGAATGCAGTGACACGCTCACAGCCGCCACAGCCTCGACCTTCAAAGTAGCTGGAACAACAGACTCATGCCACCATGCCCGGCTAGTTTTTGTGATTTATTATAGAGACGAGGTCTCATCAAGCTGCCCAGGCTGATCTCAAGTCCCTGGGCTCATGCAATCCTCTCTCCTTGGCCTCCCAAAGTGCTGGGATTACAGGCTGAGCCACTGTGCCCAGCCTACAAAGGTTTTTTATAGCACTTAAAATATACACATTTTCTTTGTAAATGAAAATACCATTCTTACTTTACAAATGTAGGTTTTGAAACTGCAAAGTTAACTTACCAACTTCAGGGCACTTTATTAATCTGCTGTAGAGATCCCAGTTCTCATGTTAGTCTGCTTGTATTTCTGTTCAGACCCTTAAACCATCTTGTCAGACCAGTTAGCAAAATAATAGGGTGAACATAGCTTTTATTCACACACAGGTGTGCGTTTAATAATATGTTTTTTGTTAAATTTAATTGATTTTTCATGACTGAAAAATAATTGACCCCAATCACATTTTTTCTAAAGCCTAATGTAATTGGAGTTATTGGTTATCTCAATCTAGCCACCTCTGGCTGAGAAGGCAGGAGGACATGCCTGGTTTCCAGAAGAGGATTAAATTCTGAAAATTAATGAAGTGAGAAGCATAGGGTGGGAGGAGAATGGAAGGAGCTGCTCTGGGAGAAAGGTGACCTGCCTTTAATCTCCATACAGGAGTTCAGATTTTTCAGCTGTCTTTGTTTCACTGAATCAGAAATGAAATCTTTGTTTAGACTTGAGACTCATAATCTTTTGTTGAGAACCAGACTATTGTCAGCTACAGATTTAGTGATACTAGCAAATTTTGAGCTCTTTGAAGCAGAAATCTGAATTTCATGCCTGAGAGTGTTGTGAGTGTTCCCCCTCCACACTGTCAAATTCATTTCAAAGGCCAAATCCCCAGAGACTGCTTCTTCAAAAGAAATGATTACTGGAAGTCCAGGAAGCCTATATTCTGAGGAAATTCTTTTTTGTAGTTTTGTAGGAGACAAGGAAGAACTCTAAAGACATATGTAGCTGTAGGTCATGACTTACATCTAGGAAGGTGTCAGGGTCAAACTGGGTCATCTGATGTACAAAAACACAAGCTCCCTGAAGCCAGGAAGAAAACACACTACCAAAGGCAGCCTTGATCCAGCCTGTGTCGGACATGTTCCATATGATATCTGAGGACTTCAAGTCCAGCCAATATCTAAGTGATATAAAGAAGCAACAAAACAGACTCCAAATAAATAAATAGGAATTAAAAATAAAACAAAACAGAAAAGCAAATAAACTGGTGTCTTTGAAGAATGGCCTTGCCCTAGAACCTCAAGGACTGCAGAGAAGGGTTAAAAGAAGCCCTCAGGCAGGGTGAGGAATTTTACTTCCGCTCTTCTTTGAGAGATTTTTTCAGAATCCTGATAAAGTGGCCTGAGAGTGGAGTGGGAGGCTGGGTTAGGCATGATATTCTGAGTTTGTTCATCAATGCAACAAATATTTATCGAGCAAATCTGTGCTAGGCACTGTGCTACAGCAGCGAGAAAGACCAGTTCCCTGCTCTAATTCTAGGGAGACAGTGAATAAGTACACAATAAAGTGAATTAAGCATATTAATAAATATCACAATTTCAAATAGTGATAAGTGGTATGAGGAAAATAAAAGAGTAATGTGACAGCTTTAGGGTAGCCTTTCTTTGAGGAAGGCCTTTCTGGCTAGGTAAGTTTACCTGGCAATAAGGAGAGGGAGCCAGACATATTGTTAAAGGATTGAATCAAGGTTGATTTTTAACTTCTTGCTTGATCATTTGGTTAGATGGTGCCATTTACTAAGCTAGGGTTAGTAGGGGTATCAAGAGTTCTGTTTTGTAGATGTTACACTGGAGATATGTTATAACTATTCAAGGAGAGGTGTCAGTTAGGCAATTGGATACATATATTGGCAGCTCAAAGGGAGTTCACCAAAAACAAATGAAGTTTTCCTCCCTACCTTCCACAAATGGTATACCCAATGCCGAGGCTGCTCTGAGAGTGCTGGGCCATCTTAGGAGAGCCCGTGGTCCCACTAGTGAAGTAAATGGCCATTGGTTCTTGACTTCCTGTTTCCACACAGCTGTGCTCTTCAGAGGCAGATCTGCAAAATATGGATCCCAAGACAGTGGTGGAAGATTGCAGGCCAGTTTAATACTTCTTTTGCTAGTCTACTTATCCCTTCTTGTTACCAGGAGATAGTATATAGAACTGAACCTAATCCAAAACTTCCCTGAAAGGAATTCCTCAAAAAATCTGGGACAGACACTGAAGATTTTACAGCTCAAATCTTTTTTTTCTCACACTTGTTCAACAGGAAGTATCAAATCTTTTTTTAAAGCTTACTCTTCCAATAGACCAAATAGATAGCCAAGATAACTTTCGATATTAATAACAAAAGGACATGCATTTTATTTAAACATTTTTTTTAAAGTGCTTTTTTTGATCTATGAATTTTTAAAAGTCAGCATTGAATCTTTGTAAATTACTATTAGTACCTCAAGTGTCTTTATAATTTAAACACAAATTTTGTTGACATTTGAATCAAACTTTTTAAATCGTTTTTATTCCTTAACTTCTATATCTCTGGGAGACACACCTAGTTGCTTATGAAATAGCTATAGCCTTCTTCATCCTTGCACTAATAGAACTCTGATTTTGTTCTGGTATCAGGCAGTTATGTGTTTCTGGGGAAACTATCTCCGTATAGCTCCTGGAGGCGAATCTTGATTAACTTAGGCCAGTCCAGTCATGATCTTTCCTTCCTTTACCAGTGATTGGTTTAAGAATGGGCAAATGATGCAGTAATGGTCAATGAGATGTAAGGCTCTCATGGGAGACACTGCTTTGTTCTAAGAAGAGTCATGAGGAAGGGGTGCGGCCTTCTCCCACGCCACTCCTCCTGTTGCATGGCCTGTTGTGCAAGTGCTGGATGCCTGGAGCTACTCTAGCCATGTTGCGATCACACTGAGAATGGCGTGATAGATGAATGAATCTGGGTCCCTGTTAACTTCATTGAACCACTAAATTTCCCGTCAGTCTACCCTACCTCTTTTAATTGTGAGATAGTAAAATTGTTTGTATTGTTTAAGTCATTTTTGGTTGAGTTACTAAAGCCAAAAGCATTCCAACTGATAACAACCTCTGTGTAAGATAGCTCCAACAATTTCTTCCATCCCTGTACATGTATGCCATTCTCTCATTGAAGGGTGGAGCCTACATCCTCTCACTTGAATCTAGGCTGGCCTTATGACTGACTTTGATGGATACAGTGTGGCAGAAGTTCTGGGACTTCTCAGTCCTGACCTCAAGAGACTGTAGTTTTCACTTTTGAAGGGGGATGGGAGGTGAACTCAGCTACCATGTGAAGATATTCAGATTGTTTTGCTGGAGAGAAAGGCAGCAGGAGAACTGAGGCACTTCAGCTGACAGCCAGTACCTCAAGCCTGACTTGTGGGTAAACATGCCTTGGATACCCTAACACCGGTTAAGCTGATGTGGAGCAGACACCAGCAGCCCCTGCTGAGCCCTCAGCAAATTTCTGACCCGCAGAATCATGAGCAAGTGAAATGATTGTTGTTTTATGCTACTGAGTGTTGGGATGATTTGACAGTCAATGATGGATAACTGATACAATATCTAAGAAGTTTTGAGACTCCTGTATCATTTTTTTTTTTTTTGAGTTGGAGTCTCACTCTGTCGCCCAGACTGGAGTGCAGTGGCCGCTCCTGGCCACCGCAGCCTCGACCTGCTGGGCTCCGGCGATCCTTCTGCCTCAGCCTTCCGAGTTGCCGGAATTACAGGCGCGCGCTACCAAGCCTGGCTGATTTTTTGATTTATTGTAGAGATGAGGTCTCGCTGCCCAGGCGGGTCTCGAACCCGCGGGCTCAGGCAATCCCCTCAATTTCCCTTGTTGAGGGAACAGGGCTAAGGATATTATTTTAATTCATCTTCATGATAAATGAGTAAGATTGTCATTGCAACTGAAAAAGAGTGAAGATTAATCCTATAAGCATATACCGTCTTGTCAAAAATAATTTCATAATACACTAACATGATTTTCTTAGTAACTTCCTTCCCTTAAAATGAAAAAAAGGTCATTTACTTGTATGGGTTTTTTTTTTTTTTTTCCGGTAGATATCTAGGGTAAAATTTGTATGTGTTGGATTAGCGATAGGAGGATTTCTTCACAGTATCTAATATCCTGGGTGTGTATGTGGGGAACTTCTTATATTTGAATACTTTTCAAACCAGTGTATGGGAAACCTTTTGATATAAGACTATTTATTAATTTTTTCCTTTTTGTTCTTTTCTTTTCATTTTTTTTTTTTACTAAAAGGATGAGACATAACAATCTGTGAGTGACATGGAGATTTTCAAGCAGACATTCTACTTTCTGACTTGTCTCTCTTTCCTTGGATACCTGAGTTCTGAGTTACATCTTTCCAGATTTTCAGAGCTGGTTATATAGTAATGTCATCCAGTTTTGTATCTTTACTTCTTGAACCTGAGACTTATTTATCTAGCACCTGCTAGATATTTGGATGGTCACAGACCCCTTAATCTCAATATGTCCTACTGTAAACTCATTATCTTAACCTCATCTACTGTTTCTTTCTCTAGCTGATAGTATCCCACCCACCCAATCATCTAAGTAAGAAAGCTGAAGATCAGCCTTGACTCTTTCATCCTTCATGTCGAGCAGTCTCCAAGTCCTACTACTTCTTTGGTTTGCCCCCTTCCCTCCAAATTTAGATCCTTGTCATCTTCCCTAGATTAGGCTTCAAGATGGTTTTTCTGATTCCAATTTGGTCCTCCTCAAATTCATCCTCTATATAGCTGCCAGAGAAATCTATTTAAAATCCAATGTGACCTTGATGTTTCCCTTCTTAAAAACTGTCAACAGCTTCCTTTGTTTACAGAGCTAAGTTTAGGACTTTAGCATGGCATAAGAGATCTTTCACAAATCTGGCCTCCGCTTGCACTTCCGGCTTTCCCTCTGACTGTATTTTGTTTGTCTGCTGACCCAAAGTGCTTGTAGCTCATTCCCTGCACATCTTAGGGTATTTTTTGCATTCATATTTTCGCTCATGTTGATCCTGTGTCTGGAACACCATCTTGATCCCACAAGCTCAGAATCCAAGGTTCTAAACTCACAGATTAGGGTCCTTTATACTAGGATAGCAAAAGAGAAATATTATTCTGCTTAGAAATATTATTTGCTTCTTCCATTTTTCTGTATTTCATTATGAACACTTCCCAGCAGTTCGCATGTTTTAAACACATTTTATTCTTCTACAACCCCCTGAGGTAGATACTATAGTTATCTCCATTTTATGTATAAGATACAGAGTTTCAGCAATGTAACTTGACTTATTCAAGGTTTCACAGCTTATAGAAGACACAAACAGGATTCATTGGTATTGCCCTTGGGAGAGAATTTTGGAATTGGACAATAGGATTTGGCTTACATTATTTAGTAGGATAAAAATTCATTCCAACAAAGGAAACTGCTCAATTATTCAACAGGGTTTACATATTTCCTCTTTCTATAAACTTTTCTGGGAGAATTTTTTAAAAGCATAAGCTATTTAACACCTCTTTGAAGGATAATACTATTAACACTTTACTCATTTTTTTTATTGCTTAAGAAGAACATTCTCACACATATATCCTAATTTTGCATATGAAGAAAACTGAGATTAAGTGATCTGTTTTATTCTTTCATTCAGTAAATATTTATTAAGCACCAATTATGTGTTAGGAACTGGGGATAGGGTGATCAACCAAGCAGACAAAGTTTCTGCTTTCTTAGAGCTCACAGTTTAGGGCAGGAGTTGGCAAACTTTTTGTGTAAGAGGCCAGAAAGCAAGTATCTTAGGCTTTGTGGGCCACACAGTTTCTGTTGCAACTACTCAGTTCTGCTGTTGGAACAGGAAAACAGTCATAAATGATGTAGAAACAAATCAGTGTGGCTGTATTTCAATAAAAATTTATTTACAAAAACAAGTGGTGGGTCAGATTTGGCCTGTGGGCCCTCATTTGTCAATCCCTACAGGAGAAAAGCAAACTTTAAATCAAGGGACAAATGTATGGACTTGGTAATTCAGATGGTGAAGAGTGATATCAAGAAAACAAAAAGGTGATATGATAGAGTAGCTTGTAGGTCTACTCTAGATAGGGTGGTCAAGGAAAGCTTCACTTAGGATAAAATATGTGAGCTGAAATCTGACAGGAAGGAGTCAGCTGTGGAAAGGAATATGGAAGAGCATTCCAGGAAAAAGAAACAGTAGAGGCAAAGGCCCCAAGGTAGGGCATGTTTGAGGAATGAAAGGGAGAGTGGTGGGAGATGTTGTCCAGGAGCTAGGCAAAGACTAAGCCCTGCAGGATACTCATCACAGGCCACAGTAGGAAGCAAGAGAATGGAGAAAGAGTTACATCCCTTCCTTCTGCCCTTAAACCCTCTTATTAGGTAATTTTTTTCTGGGAAGGACCCCAGATTAACTCATAGTGTTGCTGAGTTCTTGAAAACAAAGAACTCCAAGAGACAATTGTAATTGATGTGGTTGCTGGTGCTGCAGATAGTCTGGGAAAAGTACTCACTGAAATAACTCCTGGAAGCTGAGCCACCCATTTCTGCTGTGTGGAGACACCAGGAGTTTGGTCTTCAGGTCAGGACATTCTGACACAATGGACTCCACTGCCGGAGCCACCTCCTCACCAGCCACAATGCACCTGGCCTTGGATGCTCGAAGCCGATAGAGGATGTCTTTTGCTGTCAGCTGGACTGTTCCCGGCATGAAGACAAGCCCTGGGAAGGACAGAGGTGAACAGAACTGCTGTCCATTGGGTAAGACTCTTGGACTTTGTGCCTGGGTGAGGAGAAGCACTGTGATCCAGTCTTCAGCTACCCTTACCTTGATCCCCAGGGACATGGCACAGGACCCCAACCATTAAGAGATCTTTAGAGTACTGGCTTCAGAATCTGACAGATCACGGGTCTAATCCTGGCCTTGCAACATACTGACTGTGACCTTCATATGTCTGTGCCCTCCTTTCCTTATCTGTGAAATGGGAATAATAATAGTGTCTGGCACATAGTAGGCATTATAATGATGGGCTATTATTGTGAAACATTTCAATGTAATATTTGAAACATGATTATGTAACACTTAAATAGTACTCTTAAGCTTTTAACACATTTTCATGAATATTATCTCATTCGATCCTCTGAACCAAAGGCCTCCAAAGTGAGTTTTTCAAGACATTCCACTGGGAATAAGAAAAGAACATAGAATTTAAAAATTATTGCAATACTAGATTCTTTTTATGTTTTGATCTAATTTTTGTTTATGTTTTATAATATGCATACTATATTAGTAGGGTAGAATAACAGAAATAACTATAGCTAGATGGAAGGTTATATGTCCTACATATTTTTGTTGATAGATTATATAGCCAAAAATGCCTGGAGATACTGTTTTAAGCAACCCTGATTGGTCCATGTGATTGTTGCCACTGATGGAATATGAGATTTGGCCAGAGCTGGGGAGTGGCAGAAGCAGCCCTCAAATCTGTAGAGCCCAGTGCCTGGCATCATTGAGGTTTACTGAGACTACTTTGTCATTGCTTAATTTATCTCACCCTCTCACTTCATTCTAAACACTAGCCAGAGATGAGCCTGATTTTAAAGTACTTGTTTTTTTTAAGAGAAGAACATATATGGCAGAATTAGATGAAAGAGAGAAGGTAGTTTATACTTTCTAAAGTGAATTAATGAGAAGAAAGTTTATACTTTCTAAAGTGAATTAATGAGAAGAAAGTGGAATGTATGTATAATATTACAGATAACCACTACCATTTATTGAGCACTTATTATGTGCCTGATGGCTCATTAAAATTAATCTCAGTGTATACATGACAACTTGTCCAAGGGTCACAAAGTCAATAAGTGCCAGAGTCAGGACTCAAAGATACGTTTCTCAGACTCCCAAGACCTGTGCTGTATACCAGACTACTTATTTCTTGGTAAGTTCCCTAAAGTTAGCTAAATAGGGAGATGTAAAGATGAATTTCTAGAAAGGATACTTTATTTTATTGAATATATTTTATTTTATTATTATTTTTTAGTTGGAGTCTCACTCTGTTGCTCAGACTGGAGTGCAGTGGCACACTGCTCACGGTCACCGCAGCCTCAATCTGCTGGGCTCAGGTGATCCTTCTGCCTCAGTCTTCCAAGTAGCTGGAATTACAGGTGTGTGCCAACCACGCCCAGCTAATTTTTGATTTATTGTAGAGATGAGGTCTCGCTAAGTTGCCCAGGCTGGTCTCAAACGTGTGGGCTTAGGCAATCCTCTCACCTTGGCCTCCCAAAGTCCTGGGATTATAGGCGTGAGCCACCGTGTCCAAACTATTGAATATATTTTAAAAGATTTTAAATGTCATCCCCCCTTAAGACAATGAGTACATATGTGATGATAAGGAAATTGAATTTTAAAATGTTCGCTCAATGTAAAAACATAAAATTATTTATTTGACAAACCACTTATCTTAATGACTTGCAAATAGTGCTCTTGGTATATTTTTGATGTGAATGTGTTCAATGAGTAGACCTCTAACTTGGGGATTGGGGGGAAGTTTTCTTCTTGTGATTTCAGGTAGAGAATACCTTAGGCTTTACTGAATACACGTTACAATAAAAACCAAAATATGTTGCCATGTGATATAGTACAAGCAATCTCAGTATTCACGCAAAAGTGTTTATAATGCTGAGTTAGAAAACATAATTCTTAGCTCTTGCTTTACATTTAATTAACAGTGGTTTTTAAAAACTTCAGCTTTAGTGTTTCATAAATAACATAAGTTTATGTTAAGTAACATTAAGTACATTTTTATGACAAATCACCCTTAATCTTCACTTAACCAACAATTGGTTTCACATTTGCAAGTTTTTAAAAAATATTGAGTACAAAAAGAATTTTGTATTTTGCTGTTTTTATTTAATATTGGCATTAAGAATATTTTCTAGCATCATTACAAAATCCTTGTAATTATCCTGTTAGCAATATTCCATCAAGTTGAGGTACCATAATTTCAATCAGTAATAAACATGCTTCAACTAAACTTTGTTATAATTTAATTATTTCTATTTAAGTTGTTTCCAATTTTTTACTATGATTTTTTATTATTGATGGTATTGCAACAAAATCTTTGGGTTCTCTATGGTATTCTATTGATATTTTTGTTTAATTTTAATTGATTTATAAATACGTATGTCACATTTTTTTTTTTTTTTTTTTTGAGTTGGAGTCTCATCTCACTCTGTCACCCAGACTGGAGTGCAGTGGCTGCTCCCGGCCACTGCAGCCTTGACCTGCTGGGCTCCGGCGATCCTTCTGCCTCAGCCTTCCGAGTAGCCGGAATTACAGGCATGCACTACTGTGCCCGGCTGATTTTTTGATTTATTGTAGAGATAAGGTCTCGCCAAGTTGCCTAGGCAGGTCTTGAACCCGCGGGCTCAGGCAATCCATTCACCTCAGCCTCTCAAAGCACGGGATTACAGGCTGAGTGAGCCCGGCTTATGTTGCATGTTAGAGCAGGGATTGACAAACTTTTTCAATAAAGGACCAGATAGTAGATATTTTAGGTTTTGTGGGCCAGAGTATCTCTGTTTTAATGAGCAGTTCTGCTGCTGTAAAACAAAAGGAGCCATAGACAATATATGAATAAATGAACATGGCTGTATTCCATTAAAACTTTATTCAACAGAACAGATGGCCACTCTGCAGGCCATGGTTTGCTAACTCCTGTCCTAGAGAGGGAAAAAAATTCTGTTGGAGTTTTTATTTGGGGTACATTATAAATTGCTACTTTGGGAGAAAATGTATCATTGAATACATTAAGTTTTTTGTCTGAAAAGAGGTAGAAGTTTTCTATTGTTTATCTGCAGTAATAGTCTTTTTGTTTTTGTTTTTGTTTTTTTGTTTTGTTTTTAGTTAGGGTCCCACTCTGTCATCCAGGCTGGAGTGCAGTGGTGCAATCACAGCTCACTGCAGCATCAAACAGTCCTCCAGCCTCAGCCTCCCAAGTAGCTGGGACTATAGGTGTGTACAACCATGCCTGGCTAATTTTTTGGTTTTCTGTAGAGATGAGGTCTCATTAAGCTGCCCAGCCCAGCCTGATCTTGAACTCCTGGTCTCAAGCTATTCTTCTACCTCGGCCTCTCAAAGTGCTGGGATTACAGTTATGAGTCACTGTGCAGGGCTGTAGTCAGATTCTTCAAATCCTAGTGTTCTAAAATACTTTTTCTTTTTTTTGTATTTTCATGCTAAAGAGAATCCAAATATATTCAGAGAAGTAAATTCTGGATCATCTGGATGAAGATGTCATATGCAAAGAGGTGTAGATACCCACATTTGCTTTTATAGAGCTTTGTGTTTAAATCCTAATTGCATGGCTTTCTAGCCGTGTGACTGTTGGCAAACTTCTTAACCTCTCTGAGCCTTGGTTTCTTCTCCTGCAAAATGGTTATCACAATAATACCTACGTCTTATGGTTATTATTATTACATCATTTCTAAAAATTTTAAAGTTGTGGGGTACAAGTCAGGATTGGATACATTAGTGGTTATTACATCATTATTGTCTTAATTTCAACTCTTTTTCTGTTCTCTGTAAGCACAGCTTAAGTCAGAGCTAACATTTCAGAAACCTTTGCGTTTCAGTCTCTATGTTTCTTAATTATTTAGAAATGTAAAATACAGGCACTGACCTGTTCGCATGCAAGACACATTTACAAGCCACCACTCAGGGATTCGGGGCAGAATCACAGCCACTCGGTCTCCTCTCCGCAGGCCACAGGCCTTGGTGAGCACATTGGCTGCCTTCCGGGACAAGGAGCCCAGTTCTCTAAAGCTCCATTTCACCTCGTCCCCTTTGCCATTCACCCACCAGAGGGCTGGGTTAGCTGGTCTTTCTCCTGTCTGGCCAGGGACATATGGGAAAGAGAAGAGTATGCTTACATGACTGGGTACAAGTTAGATGGGCACCTGCTATTTCTCCCTCTCAGTGCCTGTTCTGTGCATTGTAGGAATAGCACTTTCCTTTGTTTTTCCTCCTCTCCTATTGAATACAACCTTGGTGAGACAACCCATCAGCTGCTTACCCTTCCCTGGTCAGTGGGTGGGTATATGACCATAGTTGGGCCAATCAAACTTTCTCTCTGGACTTTGAGTTTCTGGAGAAGAACCAAAAGACAGATAGAAAATAATGGAACTAAGCCTGTCTATGAGATATTGGTGCTCATGTACCCCAGGGAGCTGTCCTGGTTCCTGTCCTCACTGGGGTAGACTCCCCAGATTCCAGCCTAATTTTGTGAGCTCCTCCATATACCTCAAATACATTTCTTTCTTCCTTAAGTTAAATTCCATCCTATCTGAATAACCTTAATTGATATACTCAGTTTGAGTAGGAAACTGACATCTGTTTATACCCAAAGGCTAAGGTGTGGGTTTCATGAGTCACAAGGAGCAGGGTGGAGGAGGGTGTCAACTGACTGATTGATTGATTTCTAGAGGAAACTTCTCACCCCTCATTCTACAAAGTGAGTCATCTGTACGGTAAAACTTCTTTGTTTTAACGTATTACCTGGAAAAAAAAATGGCCATCCCCATCTCTCCCTATCTGGAGTGCTCCTTTTACTTTCTCTGGTTGGAAAATACTTCAAAGCCCAGTTGACATTTCAGTTCATCTGTGGACTTTTCTTAACTTCCTCTTTGTTTCCCCTGACTTCTGTGTGATCCTTCAGCATTGTGCTCACACTCCAGGTGACTCTGTTATACTGCATTAAATTCTCATGTCACTTGTGTAAGGCCAAGAACTTGGTTTATGTACTTTTAGACCCATGTGACCTTGGATAAGTAGCTTAACTTAACTTCCATGAGGTTAAGTTTCATATTTGCAAACCCCCAAGGTGGTTATGGGGATTTGTTGAAATAATATAGGTCAGTATTTTTCAATCTTCAGTCATTAGAGTATCACTATTTCTACCAGGTCTGTCTACACCTGTGTTATTGTTTTTGACTGTGTATATTTCTTTACATTGACTCACTCTTTTTTTTTTTTGAATTGGAGTCTCACTCTGTCGCCCAGGTTGGAATGCAATGGTGCATTCACGGCCACCACAGCCTTGACCTGCTGGACTCAGGCGATCCTTCCACTTCAGCCTTCCATGTAGCTAGAACTACAGGTCTGCACTACTATGCCTGGCTAATTTTTTGATTGATTGTAGAAACGAGGCACAGTCTCGACCTGCTGGCCTCAGGCAATCCCTCCACCTCAGCCTTCCAAGTAGCTGGAACTACAGGTGCATGCCACCACACTTGGTTATTTATTTTTTTTATTTGTTGTAGATATGAGGTCTCACCAAGTTGTCCAGGCTGGTCTCAAACCCTGGACTCAGGCAATCCTCTCACTTTGGCTCCCAAAGTGCTGGGATTACAGGCTTGAGCCACCATGCCCAGCCATTGATTCACTTTTAACTTGTATACATTTACTTAAGAAGGAAGATGCATTTAATCAGCACCATAATTGGAAAATCAGCACCATTTGCTAAAAATAGCCTACTGAAAAATGAATATTTTGATAACAAAAACTATGCCCTTAAATTTTACCTAGAGATTATTCACCTCTACTTACTGTCTCTGTTCAAGAGAGTCTGGCAAGTGTTAGGTGTTAAAGACACTGGCTTTCAAGGAAGGCCCCCTCTATTTATCAGGAAGGATTGATTCAATGTTATATATCAAGTACCTTACATCATCTTCTGATCTATGGGTCTTATAGTGTACTTTGATAAGTACTGATAAGTAAAGTATTTAGCTCAGTGTGTGGCATGGGGTAGGGGGGTCATTAAGCAGGAAACTTGTTCTGCAACTGCACTGCAAACATTCTGTAGGACTGACTTGCTGTATTCTTTTCAACCTCTGATTCTCTTCTAATTATTCCAATGATAACTATATTCATAAAACCGAAGCTCAAATTACTAGTTTTTGGATAAGGTTGTGACCAGCCCGAACACAAAGAGCTGTTGTATAGGACTTGGAGAAAAAAGAAGGAAAAGAGTAATAACTCTATGAGAAACCACAATGAGGAGACGGGGAACTCAGGATGCTCCAGAGGAAGATAGCCATATGTAGTTGAGTACCAAAGATCTTCCTTGGGGAGAGAGGAGGGCAATTGGAAAACAAACAAAGGAAACCAAGAGGGTGAAAGAATTGCATTGAAATTGACCGGTGGACATAGAACAAGGGAATGAATAATTGAGAAATAAGTGGATACCAAGCATCTAATGGAAGCCCATCATCTTATACCTTCTCCTTTTGGGACCATTGATCCAGCACATCCCCAGCAAAGTTAAAGTTTTTAGGCAACGACCTGTCACAGCGATGTATGGCTTCAAAGTCAGCAAGAGTCAGTGTCCAAAGCTGGTGATCTCTGTGAAAGTGCTGGCCAGGTGGCTTGGCGAGCCAGATAAATCTAAATGTCTGGAAGCGGAAAAAAATCTTCATGATTCCCAGAGGACTTTGTCTACTGCTATGGACAAAGTACCGCAGTCTGTGGGGAGAGAGGAGTGGAGAGTGTCAGTCTTTCCCGAAGCCCTGTGGTGAGACTGGGAAGTGAACTTGTGACTGTGTGCCCCTGTGACTGGAGAACACTTGGAACACACCCCATTCTTCTTCAGAGCTGCTGCCATTAGCCACTGACAGATTTCCCTGCCACTGCACTCTTCCTCTTCATTCTGTCATCAGATGAGCTTAAAAATCCCCACAACCACAGAAATGTCAAGCTCCCATCTTATGTGCCTACCCTCTCCTCAACTAAACAATAGACAAACAGGGAGTTTGCTGCCTGGATTGGTGTTCAAAGCCTCCTTCCATTTGCCTTATACTCTGCTCTAGCTGTATCTGCTAACTCCTTTACTTGAATCTTCTCTTTCAGTAAATGCAGCTCATTCACTTTTCATGAATGTCTATTTCCACCACTGAGAGTTGGCTGTCATTCAGCTTGCTTCTGGCTACCTCGCCTTCTTTCTGCCCCCAGTCCTCCATTGTGGTTGGTTAGAAACGTGGGTTCAAGTCCTGGCTCAGCCACTTTCTAGCTAAAGAATTTTGAGCAAATTACTTATCTTCCTGCATTTCAATATTCTTATTTGTAAAACAGGGAAAAATATAGTACTTCCCTCCAGGGTTACTGTGAGGATTCAAAAAAATAATGCGTGTAAAATACCTAGCTTGTAAAACGTATCTTCTATGTGCTAACTATTGCTATTGTTAAGATTATTTTCGTTAGTATTGTTGTGGCAACAGTTCATGAAACAATCTAACAGTATGAATCAGGAGATTTGTATTTTGCTCCTCTTTCAAAACTAGCTTTGTGACATTAGGAAAGTCCACCCTTTCTGGACTACCTTATGTAATCTAACTTTTTTCCTTCTGAATTCTGTGATTACTTCTTCCTTTGAAATTTTATAAACGTCACATGCTACTCATGTGACAGTTGTCCATCTTGTATTATTATAGTTTTTCTCATACATGCCCTGTATATGGAAAACTAACCCACCCAGATGATGTGGGTAGAGGCTATCCTTAGCACTAACCATGACTCGTAGAGGATCCCCAGTAATAAAATACCATGTTTATTAAGTTCTTGCTATAGGCCAGGCATTTTGCATTCCTGATATCATTCAATGGTGGTATCATTATCTCCATTTTACAGATGAAGATACTGAGGCTCATGTAAACTTAAGGAACTTGCCTAAAATCATCCAACTCATGGTAACAGAGGCAAGGTTTGAACCTCTATAGCCTGACTTCAGAGCTCACCTACTCAACTTCTCAGCTATTCACTTTCCTTTGGGCTGCCTTCTTCAACAAAGGTATCATGTTGATAGTGAACACCTTCACCCTTTTGCCTTTCAGTCCTACATAGCTGTTTTTCATGGAGTGGAAAAATCTGCAGGTGCAAAGGATGCCCGGGTCTGCAGCTTGGTGATAACAAATAAACAATAGAACAAAGGATTCAGAGTATACCATCTCCCCATTGTTGTTGCCAGTCCTCTATGCTGCCTGGAAAAGTGAATGCAATTTACTGTAGCCCAGGAAGAGTTATTTCTGGCAAAACTGTTGGTGTTAACTCTGTTATGTTAAGGTAGAAAGAAGAGGGATCATGCCTTATCTGATCAATTATCTGGAAGTGTGGTGGAGGTAGCAGGAGTAAAGAAAAGGGAAAAAAGAGAAGCAGAGTGAGCCATGCTTATAAGTTAACATTCTTCCAAAAGTGGAACCCCCCCACCCCTCTCCTAAAACACACACACACGCACACCTCACTTGCATTCGCACTTGCTTCTTTGAATGTCCTTTGCCATGTGGCTTAACCTCTCCAAGTCTCATTTCCATTTATGCAATGAGCGTAATAATACCATCTTCAATGGCTAGTTGAGGGGTTAAGTGAGTACCTTAGCACAATGCTTGGTATGTCGCTAGGAATTAATAAATCTTGCATATTAAAAATCAAAGTTTGAAATTGTGCTTGCTTCAACAGCACATATACTAAAATTGGAACGGTACAGACAAGATTAGCATGGCCCCTGTGCAAGGATACCATGCAAATTCATGAAGCATTCTATATTTTTTAAAATGAAAAAAAAAGCTCGAAATCACAGGTGGCAGAAAGCTATAGCTGCTTGAAATGCAAACACAGAACAAACAAAAAACAGAGACCCTCGAAAAACTATTGGATTGGAGCTGCTAACATTTATTTTATTTCTGCCTGCTTTAATGCCCTGTCACTATGCTCCAGGCTCACCCTATCCCCCACCAATCTGAAGCATTTTAACTTTCACTTTTATCATTTTATCCTTTCTTGGTCTCAGTTTGATGATAAAATGGAAATACTTCCAAGACATAGGGCACCTGGAACATTTTTGGTTCCTAAGGAGAATATTGAAGAGAATATATATAGCAGATAGTTTTAAATGCAAATCTCCTCTCATCTCCTCCTCCAAATTGAAAAATGATTTTTCATGATTTGCTATTTTTCTCCCATGCCTCCCTGGATAAATTTTTCACATCTTACTAAATCACCAAATTAACATACCAACTAGTCTAAAACTAAATGCAAACAGATATGATCTGAATATACATTTCAGCATTTCCTGTATGTGCATAAATAAAGTAAATAATCTTGCATATGCAAACCTGATCATTAGTTAGTAATAAAATCCGGATCAAGAAATTACAAAATGGAATTTTTCCATTCAACTAAAAAAATGTTTTTGCCAATAATGTTACTTCTGTTTTTTTGATCTGCCTTTGCTTTTCAGAATAGATTTGATATGGATAGGTCTTTAAGAAGACCACAAAACTCTGAAGAATTGCCATTTTGCATTGAACAGAACCAATTGGAACAGAACCAAAATTGGAGTTCTGTGGAAAGTTCATATGATTCCAGGGTCAGATCTAAGGTTCATTGACTCTTTTGGTTCAAAACATTATCCTTGTAGAAATTTGCATATAAATATGCTTAACAAAATATCTCCAGAAAATATCTGTAAAAGTGAGAGAGTTGAAATAGATGATTTAAAATAATTTTACAGTGGGGGTGTGGTGGCTCATGCCTGTAATTCCAGCATTTTGGGAGGCTGAGGCAGGAGGATTGCCTGAGCCCAGGAGCTTGAGACCAGTCTAGGCAAAATAGCAAGAATTTGTTTTTACCAAAAAAAAAAAAAACCACCAAAAAACAAAAAAAAAACCTGCTGGGCACAGTGGTTTGTGCCTGTTGGCCCAGCTACTTAGGAAGCTGAGTTAGGAAGATTGCTTGAGCCCAGGAGTTCAAGGCTGTGGTGAGCTGTGATCATGCCACTGCACTCCAGCCTGGGCAACAGAGTGAGACCCTTACTCAGAAAAGAAAAAAAAAAAAGAAAAAGAAACAAACATTAGTGATTTCCAGAGTGTTAAGGGAAAGCTTTACGGTGAAAATATTTATAACGATTGGTGTGCACTTACATTAAGTACTTCCGTGTAATATCTTGTTTAATTCCTTCAACTTCCCTCAGAGACAGATATTGTATTTCATATATACACAATTTATAATTATACACATAAAGTAACTGAGGCACTGAAAGGTAAGATATTTCCCAAAGGTCATTCATCTAGTAAGCAGCAGAAATTCAGCCCGCATTTGTTGCCTTCAAAGCACATGCTAGGAAATGCCATCACAGATTTTTGCTACATCTCTACCAACCCTCATAAAGTCAGTATCCCATTTTCCTGTCAAAAGGACAAGTATCCAGTCAGGCTCAGTAGCTCAACCTGTAATCCCGCGCCTTTGGGAGGCTGAGGTGAGTGGATTGCCTGAGCCCGCGGGTTCGAGACCCGCCTGGTCAGGCGAGACCTCATCTCTACAATAAAGCAAAAAATCAGCCGGGCGTGGTAGCGCAAGCCTGTAATTCCAGCTACTTGGAAGGCTGAGGCGGAAGGATCGCCGGAGCACAGTGGGTCGAGGCTGCGGTGGCCGGGAGCGGCCACTGCACTCCAGTCTGGGTGACAGAGTGAGACTCCGACTCAAAAAAAAAAAAAAGGACAAGTATCCGAGTTGGGCCTGCAGTTACCCAATGATGGCAAGATAATATGCCTCATCTCTTACTGCTGTGCTATGGATTCAAATATACTTTCTTAACTTCTCATTTACTAGAGTCACCTCCATGTTACCAGACACATTTTTTCCTTACCAGAAAATGGTGTTATTGATCCAGAAAGGCCTTTAGCGCCTGCCAGAAAATAGTTTCCTTCCTTCTTTTCTTTTGGTGGCATCTATGCCATTGTAGCCCAGAGTCTCTGGTGTGCAGTTGGCAGGATCATAATCCCCTGGGAGGAGAGTTTTCGTTTCTCTGGACAACCTGTGGTTAAAGGGACAGCAACTTATAAGACACAGCTGGGAGGAGAGAAAGGAAGTTGCAGTTGGAAAGAGGAGTTGCAGGAGCGACCTCCTCTTATGGGTCAGTGCCAAACAATGGCTAAGCCCCAGTGCGTTCGTGGATAATTCTCATTCATGAAGCTAAAGGTGCAGAGGTCCACCCTGTTCAAGTGGCCCGTTATTAGAGTCTCTTGGTTTAATTATCGAGTAGCCCAGGACATTGACATACTCCATTCTTGTGGCATAACTGGATCTGGCCTGTGGCAAACCTACCAAAGTAGTACAACCAAAGAAATCATATCTGAACCTTCAACTCGCTGTTTAGAGGAAATTTTGAGAAATCCTCCAAACTCCTGCCTCTTTTTAGCACCTACTCCCTGCCCTGCCACTCCTGGATGTCTGTCCTCATGTTATCTCAATTGCAAATCATGTTGAGACAATGCCGTTGACAGGTTTGAACATAAATTTTGTCTGCCTATGCCTTTGTGGAAGTCAGGTGCTGGCAACAGGGATTGAGTTTTACAAAGTCTGTGCCTAGATATTGCTTGTTGGTGACAGTGACAGTGACAGTAGTCAGAGTGACAGTTTTTTTTTT